TTCCATTCTATATACCATAGTTTGTAGATGCTATAACTTTCACACAAAGCAATCAATATACACTTATTGGGATTTTCTTTTTATACCAAGGACATGTAGCAGAACACATTTTGGCCTAAATTTATGATGAAATTTTAAGTCTTTTGGATATTTTTTTGGTCTTTTTTTTGTTTATAGCATGAAAATAAGTTCACAGGTGATCAAATACCACCAAAAGAAAGATATATTTGTGTGAAAAAAAGGACATAAATTTAATTTATGTACAGTATTGCATGACCGCGCAATTGTCCGTTAAACTAGTGCAGCGCTCCTGGATTTTAACCTCTACTATTTAGCTGCCCAACTGTCTTATTTTTTCCACTTGGACAAAGGAGATAAAAAACGTCTCGCCTTGGTGTGCACACCATCGTTTTCTTGAGCTACTGATCCCTTTCAACTTCTGTTAAAGGGTATGTGAGACCCCTCTATTATGGGTGGCCACAAGGGTTACTGTACTGCCCCTGGAAGATCTGGTCCCTAGCCTCTTGTAAGCTGCAAAACCCCTTCTATACACACCTACACTCCTCTATGGGACAACCCGTGCCTCCCTCAGCTGCTCACTGTCCCTGTCTTTCATCTATGGATCAACAGAGGAAATCTGTACATCTCTCAGGTGTTCACCACTGCTGGCATTAAACCCTTTCAAGACCTCAAATCAGAATTTGACCTTCCTAACTTTGTTATTCCGTTTATCTCCAGCTCTGACACATGCTGTATGCCCAATTTGGTGACTCTATCCCACATCTGGACTCTCTATACCTTATGGATGTGATGTTGGTTACGGAATCTAAAAAAACTTGCGTCCATGTTCTAAAATGATCTTCTCTTACCTCCTGTATCGATCTTGGTGTATCATCTTAAGTCCTGATGGGAGGTTGACGTGGGGGAGCTGGATGATGGGGTGTGGGAGAAGGTCTTATACCCGAGTAAACTGATCTCCTTAAAACTGTCAGATCGTCTTACCCACCTGTATATACTTCATAGAACCGATTTAACGCCTATCCGGCTATCCAGATACTGGCCACAATATAGTCCGCTTTGTCCTAGATGCAGGGTTTCCAATAGTATCTTATATCATCTCATATGGTCTTGCTCAATTATTCAGTGGTATTGGGTTCAGGTGGTTGGTTCCTCCATGACAAGATGGGTTAACCCCTCACTCTATGCCCTAAGCAATGTTTACTGGGTCTGTTCCCGACTCGGAAATTGATACATTTCAGACTATTTTCTTACAGGAAACTCTCTTTATGACTAGTTGCTCATACTTGGCTTCGAGCACTACTATCCCTCTTTGGGTTGCTGCGATAAATAGTATATTATCATATAGGAAGGTTATCTACATGCATAGAGGATCCCCTGACAAATATCATAAAATATGGAATAAATGGCTCGACTGCTTCTACTTGTGATGTGAAATTACGGTTTGCTTACGTTTGTCCCTCTTTTGTTATTTGCATCTATTCATGTGATATTTGTACCTTAGTGGATGGACTTGATAGTTTTATTTAGTTTGCATATGGCAAGTATATTTTCGATGGTGTAATTGTACTTTTTGTCACTATACTGGTCTCGTTTTTGTTTGCTATATAATGTGGTTACATATCTTCTCTTAAAGAGTTTGCTTGTTGAAAAAAAAAAAAAAAAAAGAAGAAAAGTAATGTGTTATACTTACTGTCCATTCTAACACTAGTGGTCAATTTAGAAGCAGTGGAAAATTTACTCCTTTGCGTTGGTGATCAGTGAAGGTGGGTAGATCCATCCGCCATTGTTCTAAGCTCAAGGACCACCTAGCAGCTCAGGAGGAACCCTAGTTGAGGAACACTGGTCTAGAGTGTTACACCTCCAGCTTCTTCACCTTCTACTTCTGTCTGTTAACCCTTTGAGGACCAAAGGACGTATTTGTCCCATGTTTTTAATTGCCTGTATCATCTGATTAAGAACTTAAAATACTTTCTTTTTTTTTTTTGGTTTGAGCCAAAATATTAGTTCTTATCAACAAATGGATCTAGCTTTTTGCCAATTATTTCATGAAATGGCTTAGTTACAGCAACTGAAGTGTACGAACTTTAAAAACACAAAAAAATTATTATTTTGGCGTTCTGTAATCTTATCGTCCTCAAAGGGTTAAGGCAGAGCTTTATAACTTTTCAGCTTGAAAGGTCAGACGTGTAGAGCTAATGCTGGCTTTTCTCAGAAATCAGCCCATCGTTCTCTGCAAAAATGTTATAGATGCACACAGCTTTATATGTATATTTGTAAAAATAGGACTTTATAAAAATACCAAAATACATGGTGATTTCAAACATTCTTAACAACTTAAAAATCCCTTTTAATTTATTTCTATTTAAAGTAAAAAAGAAAAAAATGGCAGTAATATGCTACAAACCAGTTTTTTTGTACCAGCTTTTTTTTTTTTTTTTATTTTAGTACTAAACTCCAGCCAACTTAAAGTGGTTCTAAAGCCTAAACATTTTTTACCTTAATGCATTTTTGCATCTGTTTTGGCTCCTTCCCATACGGGCACTGGACAGAAAGGAGGAGCCAGAAGCGCTCCGAGGTACCCGAGAGGAGGAGGTTGAGGCCGGAATTGCACAGAGCAGGAAAAATATAATATATATAATGTTTATTTTTTCATTTACAATAACTTTAATTTTTTAAGGCGTTATATGTCACATACAAAAATCTACCTAAAGTTGCAGCTTTGTTGTGCATCCACAATTTATTCTGGCCATTGAAATTAATGAACGCCCAAGTTCTTGATGCATCTAGCGTTTAAGCGTGTTTAGGTGTGCCAGGCGTTTTCTATGCCAAAATTCCACTGCTCCTGAACACGTTGGCAGCGGGGTTTTTTTCTGCTTCTAAATGTCCCTTGCCTGTAAACACTTGTAAATATCTATGTGTGGACACACAGGCTAACATTGAAGGGCATTTGGAGGCAGAAAAAGATGCATCTAAAAGTGACATTTAAAATGTCCAGTGTGCATCAGGCCTAAGGGTTTACATCAGGTTGCATCTGATTCTGACAATATTCCCTAATGAGTAAGTGACAATCATGCAGGCATTCTTGTTTCAGAATATTCTGTTTACTTGTCCCAGGTCAGTAGATAATGTAGCAAGTATGAAGGTGACATTCCCATAGAGTGCACTTTTGTAAAATAACTTGGCAGTGACTGCTTACATGTTTCTACCCTAACCTGTTCACCTAAAGCAGGCCATAGACGAGTTGAAAACTGAACAAAAAATTCTTGGTCGGTTTTTCTTTTTTTTTTTTTTTTTTTTTTATGCACCATTGGCATGCCAGCTTTGACACATGATTTTCGTGTCTCAATCAAAAGTGCCTGATCCAACATGCTGCGATCCAATGGAACAAATGATGGCACAATGGTATACACCATTTTTATATTTTGATTAACAGAACGTTTGGTCTTCGTCTCGCCTATGGCCTGCCTAAATCTCTGTCCTTTATTTATTACAGGTACTTTTATTGCGCCGTCAGTTTACACAGCTCTTTACATATATATTGTACATTCACATCAGTCCCTAAACCTCAAGGGGTGTACAATCTGTCCTTAACCTCCCTGGCGGTATTCCCGAGCTACACTCAGGGTTAACTTTCAGTACCAGAAGCGATAACCCTGAGCTACACTCTGGATTACCCTGCAGCGTTGCTCTGGGATTCCCTCTTGCACTTACCTTGTCTTTCGCTCCCCCGCGATTTTCCCCCTGCAGCATCCCCCCGGCCATCTCAACCGGCCAATGCCGGCATCTGTCTTCCGGGTTCTGGTCCCTGTGAGCGTCGGGACGAATGGGGGCCGGAACCGGTGGGAAATTTAAAAATGTTAAGTGGTTTTGGTTTGATTACATTATTGAATTAAATTTATAATTATATTATTTTTTATGATTATTTATTATATTATAATTTATGATTTCGTGTTTCAAATTTTATCATACCCGGAATGTTTACTAGACTCGTTTGGACAAATTTCAGTGAGTCCTAAAAATTACAGGCCTACAATAAAAAAACGACATATTTCCATGCACAAAAATTTACCGCTTTGAGCACAGAAATATTGACATAATCAGACCGCTAGGGAGGTTAATCCCCTTTGTAATATTTAGGGCCTGTGTCTATGGGCTTTGCAGTTATTTTAATGACCAGTTGCAGTTTCCAGTATTTTTGAGATTGGTTTGAGACACTAAGATTGAGTGCATTGCAGGTGCATTTGACCTGGAGTTGACCACCTTCTAGCTTGTATTTAACCCCCTTCATTATCTTTCTGTTGACTTTTATTCAGAGAGGAGTTCCACCACAATCAACAGTCAACACAGATCCTTAACCAGTTAACCAGTGATGTCACTTTGTTAGAGTAGATCAGCTGGATAAAGAATAACTGATGTTGTGTTTATGTGGCAGTGTGTTACAGCTGTCTGTAGGAAAGCCCAGCTTGTAATTAGAATTTTGTTGGTGTTGTCTGGTGACCCCCTCTCTTCATATTCAACTGGTGCCATCATCATTTAACCAGGTTTATTGCTCTGAAGAAATTTGGTCTCCCTATAAACAATTTATTAATAGTTAAATAATATTCAAAATTGTCACAACATACAGTAGAATATCTTAGATAATACTGTGACATTTATGTAAAAAGTTTCAGCTGCTAGACTGGTCATTGAAGAAAGGAAATGCTGCTTTTTGTCTGGCCCACTGAACTCCTGTGTTGATTGTTGGGACACAGGCAGTTGACTTTTGTCTCTGACAGGAGAGTTTGCACTCAGCTGCATACCCAATGTTTTGTGTGCTTATTTTTAGCAAAGATTAACGTTTAAGATTTTATAGTGTGTGTTTTTTGTTTTTGTTATTTTTTTGTTCTTTAAAAGTATCCTTTTTTTTTTTTTTTTTTTTTTTTTTTTTAATTTCTTCATTGATCTTAAATGTCTAAACTTTTTTTTTTTCCTGAATTTTAGACAAGCAAGGAAGATAAATTATCCAACCGTATCCAGAGCATGCTGGGAAACTACGATGAGATGAAAGAAATGATAAGTGACCGACCTTTGCCGATTGAGATTCCCAAGCACACTGTTCCTCCCCCACCCTCGGATGATAAATCTGGACAGGGTTTCTTTACGGATCAGAGACTTAGTAACTCTCACCAGAGCAGTAAATGGACTCCTGTGGGCCCAGCACCAAGCACTTCTCAGTCCCAGAAACGGTCTCATCTAGTGCCCAGGGAGGACACAGCAGGAGTAGTGGTGGCAGCAGCAGTAGTCAAAGACATGACAGAGAGTCTTACAGCAGTAGCCGTAAAAAAGGGCAACATGGATCAGATCACTCTAAATCTCGTTCCATCAGTCCCGCAAAACAGTCTTCATTAAATTCTAGTCATTCCCGTTCTCATGGGAATGATCACCATAGCAAGGATCGTCCGCGCTCTAAATCTCCAAGAGACCCTGATGCTAACTGGGATTCTCCTTCTCGAGCACCTTCGTTTTCAAGTGGGCAGCATTCCACCCAGGCTTTCCCCCCATCGCTAATGTCTAAGTCTAGCTCAATGCTGCAGAAACCTACAGCTTATGTACGTCCCATGGATGGGCCAGAGTCTATGGAACAAAAACAGTCTTCTGAACACTACAGCAGCCAGTCTCAAGGCAACAGTATGAGTGAACTAAAATCAAACAGCAAAGCACATTTAACAAAGTTGAAGATACCTTCCCAGCCTCTAGATGTAAGTTACTTTTAAGTTTATGTTCAAACTGCTCTTTTTATGTCATATTTCTTCATATGGTATTTAAAGCCCAACTTCAGGCCCAGACAGCCACAGGACATGCAGGGTCTTCTTCCTCTTAAGATACAGAGAGTACCTCTAACACAGTGGTCGGCAAGCCGCGGCTCGCGAGCCACATGCGGCTCTTTACAAGCTTAAATGCGGCTCTTCTGTGTGCCGGGCGCCCGCTCCCCTCCCTCCCCTCCCTCCTCTCGGACGGGCGTGTTCCGGGCGGCCGCCCCCTCACCTCACCTCCCCTCCCCTCCCCTCCCTCCTCTCGGACGGCCGCCCGCTCCCCTCCCTCCTCTCGGGCGGCCGCCCCAAAAGTCAGGACTCTGCAGCTGTCAGGATGTAGGCGGGGCAGCCAGGATGTAGGCGGGGCAGCGTGACGAACTCCTCTCCTCTCACAGTCCGCCCTGAAGACCAGAACGGCGCGGGAAGCACGACGAGAGGAACGCGCGGAGCAAAGGTAAGTGAATTGACACAGGGGGGACTTACTATATGGGGGATGAATTACTATATGGGGGACTTACTATATGGGGGGGGACTTACTATATGGGGGGGGACTTACTATATGGGGGGGGACTTACTATATGGGGGATGAATTACTATATGGGGGGGACTTACTATATGGGGGGTGACTTACTATATGGGGGGGGGACTTACTATATGGGGGGGGGACTTACTATATGGGGGACTTACTATATGGGGGATGAATTACTATATGGGAGATGAATTACTATATGGGAGATGAATTACTATATGGGGGATGAATTACTATATGGGGGATGAATTACTATATGGGGGATGAATTACTATATGGGGGATGAATTACTATATGGGGGATGAATTACTATATGGGGGATGAATTACTATATGGGGGATGAATTACTATGGGGGATGAATACTATGGGGGATGAATTACTATATGGGAGATGTATTTTCAGTTTTAAAAATGTGGCTCTCAAAATAAATTTCAATCGTGGTTTTGGCGAGATTTGGCTCAGTTGAAAAAAAAGGTTGCCCACCACTGCTCTAACATAACGATGTCAGCAACAATTTATTCATTGTTACTTTGATTGCAGGGTTCCATGGTGACACCCTCTCAGTGGACAGATATATGATGCCCAGCTTCTACCCAGCTTCATTTAACCCTGATAGAGAGCTTGGATTAGGTCTAGTTAAGAACAAAAATGCATGTATATGCTATGATCATTTGTGAAAAAAGTTGTTTGATGTTTAAGATATGCTCCCTCTTTCAGTTACTATCCAATCTCTGTGACTTTGTAATCAAACCTACATGAAGTTATTTAACTGTTAAAAACAAATTGTCAAGAGAAATGCTGGACCTGCAATTTCTGGTTGTCTTCTGGAAGTGCCAGTTGCCTGGCTGTCATGCATATCTGCTGATTTTGAAGCATTCAATACTAGTGGCCCAGGATAAGTTTTCAAGACAAGCTTTTTGAATTCACTTACTGTTTACTTTTTCAGTGAGTTAGTGACTCTGAAAGTATTGAAGCCAGGAACAGCCATATAAATAACATTTATCTTATGTCAGGTTTTTTTACAAGTGTTTATATTGTAGAGAGGTGTTTACATATAAGGTTTGTGTGCCAAACTGGAGATGGGAGAGATTGGTTCTGGCTCATAAGGGAGTATTTACTGGTCCTAAGTCCAGTTCACACCACAATTTCTACGTTCTGGATGCATTTCTGCATGTGCATTTTTTCCCCATCTTTTTTTTTTTTTTTCTTTCATCTTAATTCAGGACATGGGCATTCCAGTCCATTTTTTATGTGTTTTGCTGCATTCAATACAGAAAAGAGGAAGCATGTTCCACTCTTGTTGACTGCATTGAGAATGCACTGCACTGGTGTTGAACTAGGGAAGAAAAATATATTTTAAATATATTCTTCCCAAATATATTGACATATATTTGAAATGCTACAATTTTGGCCGTATTCAATATTGGCCGTATTACGCTCTCTCTCTCTCTCTCTCTCTCTCTCTCTCTCTCTCTCTCTCTCCCCCCCCCCCCCCCCCGATTTTGCTCTCTCTCTCTCTCTCGTTCTCCCCCCACTTAGAAATCATGGAGGAGTCTGAAATTCACATTGTAGGTGCATTCCCACTCTGAGAGACAGAATTTAAAAAAATCAGGAAATCACATTGTATGATTTTTAAAGAATTTATTTGTCTTGCACTGCTGAACATAACTATTTGAACACCTAAGAAACAGCAAGAATTCTGTCTCTCAAAGACCTGTTACTGTGCCTTCAAAAATGGCCTGGAACTGCTGCTGGCAATGGAAGAGCATATTTGTTACTCCTTTAAAGAGCCTCTTGGCTCTTCGATTGCATCCACCAACTCCTCCAATCTACAGTAATTAGTCATTTGCCACTTATAGCACATTCTGGAAAATGTTACTGTTGTGTGGAGCATTGTAAGTTTGAAGCTGCTTCAGCCCTTGCCCTATCATGGTATCTACTGCAAGCTGAACCATTGTAGCATTACATGTAATATAAACATAGTGAAGATTTTGCCTTATTTTGTGATAACATGTTTGCACTATGTGTTCTACAACCTTGAATAGATAATGTTATGGATATTTCTCTGTTACACAGGCTTCTGCATCCGGTGATGTGAGCTGTGTGGATGAAATTCTTAAAGTAAGTATATTTTAGGTCTTGGCAAGAAGGATAAACTGTATCTTTGAAATAAAAGTGAAAATTAAAGGTTATGCCATTTCAAATGCCTCGTTGATTTAATTACATCAGTGCTAATGACCATAAATTATTATTTTTTTCCAGAGTTTGTAAATGATCTTGTATAAACAAAACGATTTTCGGGAGCGGCATAAAGACAATCCCCTGCATAAGTTGAGCTAAGCCCAGTTCATTCCCCCTCCCCATTTCCTCTCTCCCATCCTCTGTGATGTGATGCTATCCATCTACTTTTCAGCAATGTTACAGTGGTACAAGGCAGGAAGATTTATTTACTTGATCTCCAGTCAGCTGAAAAAAATGCACCTTGCATTGGGCCCTTCCTCAAACTGCACAGTTTATTAGTCAAACTGCACAGTTTATTAGTTTGTTTTGACTTGGGGTATTGAATAAGGTGCAATACTTACCTTAGTCATGATTCACCTTTCAGTGAGCGCCACCCTCTGTTCTTTGATGCTCCTCTTATGTAGGCTGGTCTTTGATATTCTCAGGTACAATGTAGCAGTAGTTATCTGTATGCAGAAGCCCCATTGAAAGCTATTGGAGACTGACAGTTTCCACAGTTATGATTGGCCACTCCATGAGTAATTACATGTCAATGATTGGCCTTGGACACAGGCAGTCTGTGACATTCACCCAACATTCACTGGTGGTGAATTTTTCACTGTACATTAAAACACTGACCAGAAAACTTCACCTGCAGTGACTGTTTAGTGATTTCCATTAACATTCACTGCTTTATAAAATATCAGACTGCAAAAAAAATTGTAGTTGCCATGGAGGGAATATTTTTTCATTTTCTGAACAAGACTGGAATTGAAATGTATGTATTAACAATAGTAAGAATACTATCCACCTACAAAAATGCAGAAGGAATAAAATTTGGTTGAAAAATCGACAATTTTTCAGTTTGCTTTTTTACCTTAATCCATTCTATGCATTAAGGTAAAAACCTTCTGGGTGCAGCCTCCCTTTATACTTACCAGAGCCCTCTCTCGATCCATCGACGTGTATATGAGAAGCAGCTCTCCTGAGTGTCTGCCTCCTCTTTGGCTCACACAGCAGCAGGAGCCATTGGCCTTTAGGCCTCATTCACACCATACTCGCAGAAAAACTGATGGAAACTGAAGTGCAGATTTTACTTGCAGAGACATCAGTTTACATCAGTTTTTATGCACGCTTTAATGAGTTTTATACATGTTGCAGATTCCTACGCAGAAAGAAAATCTGGACGTGATACTAGTGTTGTGGAGTGAACAGGGCACACAGAGAACAATGGTTTTAATTTTGCCTTTGCAGAAAAACTGACAGCTCTGCACCATGGCGTGAACAGGCCCTTAGTATTACTTTAACTGATATTCTTTATTTTTTCAGGAAATGACACATTCATGGCCTCCACCCTTGACAGCGATTCACACCCCTTGCAAAACTGAGCCCTCTAAATTCCCATTCCCAACAAAGGTTAGATTTTTTGTATTTAGTTTTTAAAAAATGCCATATTTATCCTTTGTGTGCGAAGGTTAAATTGTCACTAAACTCCTCATTTCTGCGTAAGTATTTGAAGTGTTTACATTAAGAGGACTGCTTTTTCTGTTATGAAAATGGTGAAAGGTTTATGCTTTTCCATTCTGAAAATAGAAAATGTCATTTTTAAGGATTTAAATGGTTCCTACATTTGTAGTAGTACTCTCTGAAGGCAGTGTAACTTCAGCACCTACACAGTATATGTATTTACCATAAGTTGGCTTTTAGGTCAGTGCCTATGTTCAATTTATTTCCAGTAAAAAGTTTCAATTTCAAAAGTCAATAGAAAATGTTTGCCTGTTCACTGAACTGGTTGAATGTGTCTTGTGCAGAGGGCCTTCTAAACGATGAGTTTTGTACAGGGGTGGTGCAGGCTCAGTGACGAGAAGGGGAGTTGAGGCATACTGTTGAGAGGGGGAGGTGCAGGGGGTGAGAGTGGGTGTGCTGGGGGAAAGGGCTTGGAGAGACGGGATTGTTTAGAGATGTGTGCAGGCACGGTAGTGAGTTGTGGTTGCATGGGGTTTGGAAAAGGCTAGGGGCATTTTGGTGTGGTGGTAATGCAGGCACTATGGTGAGAGGAGGGGTGCAGGCATGGGAGTGAGATGGTGCTTGAAAGAAGGGATGATTTGGTAGGCATGGTGATTATATGTGGTATGGAGGGGTTCAGGCATGGTAGTGAGAGGGGGGGTGCAGTGGGAGTGAGTTAAGGTGCTAGGGAGTGTGGAGATGGAGGCTACACGGAATGGGAGATTCATGTGTGTGGTGAAACCAAGGGGGCAGAGGAGAGAACTAAGAGGATATGGGGAAGGATGGGATAAAAAGGAAGGATGCAGGTAAAAGCTAGGATAATGCTAAGGGTAATGCAGGTAATGGGAGGGGAGTTTGAAACCGCAGTCAGCCGGACCGTCGTGTCTGAGCAAAAATGCTGGAGCTGTGGACAGAGCAGGAGATCGGGCAGATGCAGTTTGGGTCCAGTGATTGAATGAGAAGGGAAAAGCTGTTAGTGTAGTGTCATAGCAGGGGCAAAGAGGGATCAGGCAGAGGCAGTGACAGCAATATGAAGAGATATGTTGGTGATTGAGTGGAGTAGGAGTGGAAATAAGCATCACAAGTGTGGTGATGGAGGAGAGTGCTGGAGGTATGGACAAAGAGGGAGATTAGCTAGTAGTGGAGACTTCCCAGGTATACCTATCTTGATGATATATCTATCTGTTGCTTCGTCTCAGCCAGCCAGCTTTGCCAGCAAATCAGAGAGAGCAGCCTCCTCCTTACAAAGGATTGGCATGGAGGAGGTGCAAGGTGCTGAGAGGAAGGGGTGGGCTTGCAGGCACTGGAGCCCACTGAAGAAGTCAGAAGTAGAAATTGAAGTGCTAGCTGTGCATATGCTAATTTGCAGCCATCTTTTATCAAGAAATTCAACGTGGCTTCCACGGTTACAAAACCTACGGTGCTTTATGCCCCATTTGAATCCCCTGATTTCTGTGAAATTACAGATTTTTCTTCTTGGTTAAGTACTTCCAAACAGTTAGCTACTCTATACATTGAGGATCCATGTACACTGGCTTAAAAAACTGCTGCCCCATTAGAAGCAACTAATGTTGTGCTATGTGTCCAGGCACATTAGGTCGTCTAGAGGCATATTTTAAGCGCTGCATTTAGAGGCAGAAAAAAAAACGTTTTATGTTTTTGAGAGCGTTTTTCTGACAGAAACAAAAGCTAGTACAAAAAAAAGCTCAAAATTGGCATTTTTGTTTCCACCAAGACCACTGGGAAAAAAGCCAGTGTGCATGGACCCTTATAGCTTTCACAATACTTTGAAAAACTACAATCTTTATATGAGGCTGGAACGAAGGAGGAAACAGCTTCATTTTTACTTCTGTTATTCTTTAATAATAAGAATAGGATAACGCCTTACATATAGGTAGATATACACCATATTGCCAAAAGTATTGGGACATCCCTCCAAATCATTGGATTCAAGTGTCCCAATCACCTCCATGGCCACAGGTTTGTAAAATCAAACACCTAGGCATGCAGACTGCTTCTACAAACATTTGTGAAAGAATGGGTCACTCTCAGGAGCTCAGTGAATTCAAGCATGGTACCGTGATAGGTTGCCTCCTGTGCAATAAGTTCATCCGTGACATTTCCTTGCTACTAAATATTCCACGGTCAACTGTTTATTATTATAATACTGTGGTATTATAACAAAGTGGAAGCAACTGGGAACAACAGCAACTCAGCCACGAAGTGGTAGGCCACATAAAATGACAGAGCGGGGTCAGTGCATGTTGAGTGCACTGAAGACTCCAACTGTCTGCAGAGTCAATAGCTAAAGACCTCCAAAATTCATGTGGTCTTCAGATTAGCACAACAACAGTGTGCAGAGAGCTTCATGGAATGAGTTTCCATGGCTGAGCAGCTGCATCCAAGACTTCCATCACCAAGTGCACAGTAAAGCATCAAATGCAGCAGTGTAAAGCACGCCACCACTGAACTCTAGAGCACTGGAGACGTGTTCTCTGGAGTAACTAATCATGCTTCTCTGTCTGGCAATCTGATGAATGTGTCTGGGTTTGGTGGTTGCCAGGAGAGCAGTACTTTCCTAACTGCATTGTGCCAAGTGTAAAGATTGGTGGATGGGGAATTATGCTGTGGGGTTGTTTTTCAGGGGTTGGGCTTTGCCCCTTTGTTCCAGTGAAGGCGTCCTCAGACCAAGACATTTTGGACAATTTCATGCTCCCAACTTTGTGGGAACAGTTTGCGGATGGCCCCATGCGGAACAGGTTCCAACATGACTGCTCACCAGTGCACAAAGCAAGGTCCAAAAAGACATGGATGAGCGAGTTTGGGGTAAAGGAACTTGACTGGCCTGCACAAAGTCCTGACCTCCTTCCAGTAGAACACTTTTGGGATGAATTAGAGTGGAGACTACGAGCCAGGCCTTCTCATCCAACATCAGTGCCTGACCTCACAGACGCTTCTGGAAGAATGGTCAAACATTCCCATAGACACACTCCTAAACCTTGTGGACAGCCTTCCAGAAGAGTTGTAGCCTTGTATATTAGCAAATGGTGGGCCAACTCAATATTGAACCCTACGGACTAAGACTGGGATGCCATTAAAGTTCATGTGCATGTAAAGGCAGGCGTCCCAATACTTTTGGCAATATAGTGTATAGATAGATCACACTGTCTATTCAGGTTCCACAGCTTTTTATACCTGACATTACTTTTACGTCAACAGGTTGACCTTTGTTGTTCTCTTCTTTTTAGGAATCTAACTTTTCCACTACTGATCAAAGTGAGTAATGCATCCTACTAAACACATCTTTTTAAAAAGTATGATTTGCCAAATGTGATAGAGAACAAAATATGTTTAGTGTTCTACATCAGTGGTAGCTAGGAATGTAAAACTTTTTTTTTATACAGTCATGGCCGAAATTGTTGGCACCCTTGATATTTCTCCAGGAAATCATGTATTTCTCACGAAACGTATTGCATTAACACATGTTTTGCTATACACATGTTTATACTTTGTGTGTTTTGTCACACAAACCTCCAAAAATGGGCTGGACAAAAGTATTGGCACCCTTTCACAACTGCGGATAAATAAGAATGTTACAAGCATGTGATGCTCCTGTAAAACTCACCTGGGCAAGTAACAGGTGTGGGCAATATAGAAATCACACCTGAAAGCAGATCGTTCACTTAACCTTTGCATTGTGTGTCTGTCTGTGCCACACTAAGCATGGACAACAGAAAGAGGAGACGAGAACTGTCTGAGGACCTGAGAACCAAAATTGTGGCAAAATATCAACAATCTCAAGGTTACAAGTCCATCTCCAGAGAACTAGATTTGCCTTTGTCCACAGTGCGCAACATTATCAAGAAGTTTGCAACCCATGGCACTGTAGCTAATCTCCCTGGTCGTGGACGGATGAGGAAAATTGATGAAAGATTGCAACGCAGAATAGTCCGGATGGTGGATAAGCAGCCCCAAACATGTTCCAAAGACATTCAAGCTGTCCTGCAGGCTCAGGGAGCATCAGTGTCAGCGCGAACTATCCGTCGACATTTAAATGAAATGAAACGCTATGGCAGGAGACCCAGGAGGACCCCACTGCTGACACAGAGACATAAAAAAGCAAGACTACAGTTTGCCAAAATGTACTTGAGTAAGCCAAAAGCCTTCTGGGAAAACGTCTTGTGGACAGATGAGACCAAGATAGAGCTTTTCGGTAAAGCACATCATTCTACTGTTTACCGAAAACGGAATGAGGCCTACAAAGAACAAAACACAGTACCTACGGTAAAATATGGTGGAGGTTCAATGATGTTTTGGGGTTGTTTTGCTGCCTCTGGCACTGGGTGCCTTGACTGTGTGCAAGGCATCATGAAATCTGAGGATTACCAAAGGATTTTGGGTCGCACTGTAGGGCCCAGTGTCAGAAAGCTGGGTTTGCGTCCAAGATCCTGGGTCTTCCAGCAGGACAATGACCCCAAACATACGTCAAAAAGCACTCAGAAATGGATGGCAAAGAAGCGCTGGAGAGTTCTGAAGTGGCCAGCAATGAGCCCAGATCTAAATCCCATTGAACACCTGTGGAGAGATCTTAAAATTGCTGTTGGGAAAAGGTGTCCTTCCAATAAGAGAGACCTGGAGCTGTTTGCAAAGGAAGAGTGGTCCAAAATTCAGGTGTCAGAAGCTTATTGATGGTTATAGGAAGCGACTGATTTCAGTTATGTTTTCCAAAGGGTGTGCAACCAAATATTAAGTTAAGGGTGCCAATACTTTTGTCCAGCCCATTTTTGGGGTTTTGTGTGACATTATGTCATATTTGCTTTTCTGCCTCTGTTTTATATTTGTTCCAATACATACAAAGGGAATAAACATGTGTATAGCAAAACATGTGTTAATGCAATACCTTTTTTGTGTAAATACTTGATTTTCAGGAAAAATATCAAGGGTGCCAACAATTTCGGCCATGACTGTATATATATATACTATATTTTTCCTTTCTGGTCACTTTTACTCTGTGCTTTTGCATAATTACGGCTGGTGTTGGTTGTTTCTATTGGCCAACAGTGCTTTTCCATTGTCAATTTTACTTTCCAAAACACTTTAAACACCTCTAGTTTCGCAAAAAATAGGGAGGGATATAACTGAGATTGGTTCAAATTTGCATTAAACATGTCATTCATTTTGTTGTCAAGATGTTGAAGACATTGTTGATTGAATGTGACCAAAGGTACATGCAAATGTAAACATTTTACTGCGAGACTGTGAAAATGCAAGAGAGGGTAGTAGATTTGGTTCAGTGCAAATAAGCTGTTAGGGAAAGCAGTGCAGGCTGCATCTGTGCCCCCTCTGTTATAAAGGCACTGATGTGGGATGTTTGTTGCTTACTTTCAAAGATGGTGCAAGCTTTAAAGTCCTGGAAGCATGTGTGGATAAAATCTCTGCTCTCTACATTTTAGAAATATACTAAATTGTTGTAGGGATTATCAGTCGAGCCAAAATTCTTTTCAAATGGATTAGTCCAGCAGTCCCTCACCAGCAATGCATAGAAGCATGAAAGAAAAGCATAGTTTGGAGGAGTAGACATAAGCAAAATAAAACCAATGACAAGGTGAATTATACTATTATGCATATCATGATAATGTTGGTCCCCAAACAAATATTTAATAAACATTATGCATGGATTGTAATTGAAACCAACCAATCATAAATGATCTTTTGGTTGTCTGACTACAATAAGCTCATTAAATCTGGTTGCTGTAGGTTAAGGTTAGGAATCATAAGTTCACTTATTTAACTACTTTAGCCCTCACATCTGTACACTACTTACAGACCAGAATGATAACTTTGTCATTACTTAATAAAATGGAAGGTCCACTTCCATGCTAGCCTCTTGCTACCCAAACAAGCTGTAAATAATTAACATTATATTTTGTAAGGCATAAGGTAAAAAAAAAAATCTTAGCAGGAATACAAGCATTTTTAGAAACCTGTCAAAAATGTTAACCCATTCCCACTCTTCAATACCTAGTCTTGGGTTGAAATGTTCTACTATGGTAATTTAATAGCTCATTTAATAAATAATGTGGGTTTACCTTTTAAAATTTGTTATATATTATTAATTTTTTTCTAATGAGCATATTTGTTTCACAGAACGATACAATGCATCAGCCAAAACTTCCAATGGACATCAGCCTAAATCGTAAGTTTTTGTGTTTAGGGGAATGAAAAAAAAAAAAAAAAAGCCTAGTTTGGTTAAACACAAATAATTATAAAATGTCGATACATGCTATATTACATTGTGTTCATACTTGCTTTGCCACCAGAGCATTAGTTTTTTTTAGATTGCAAAAAAAAAAAAAAAACTGATTCTGCTTTTCGCTGCCCCTCCCTCCTTATCTGTGTTCCTGCTGCTGCATGACGTGTAGACTAGCCATTGCCACAGCTACTGAGCATGCTCAAGTGTCAGTTCCCTCCTAAGCTGTTCGTGTCTTTTTTTTTTTTTATCTGTTCAGCCTATGTGACTATACAAGGGTATGAACATTTTTGAAAAAACTACTTGTCCAAGGGACTAAATCTGTGTCCCAATCTACTTGTCCCTCATGACAATCTACTTGTCCGCGGGGTGCATTTCCTCCACGCCGGTGCGCCGTGACCGGCTCCAGGCTGGCTGGGGGGGGGGGGGGGGAGGTGGCCGGGCTCCGGGGAGGAAGGGGACAGGGGCTTGGTAGGGCTGAAGCGGGGCTGGGCGCACGCTGCGACTCGACGAGGTGCCGTCTACACCCCCCCCTCCCCTCCCCACTGTCCTCTTGTATCGCTAAACACCATGGGAACAGGACATACTATACAATGGTGATTGATGGAGGTTTCACCTCCCTGTTATTTCCAGCACATACACACCATAGACACAGGCTGGAGGAGCACGGTGCAAACTGTGATTAGCAGAACCCTCTCTAGATATCTTTACAATGTGAACAAAATGAAAGATGTCAGTCAACACAAACTCCACCTATGCCATGTTACTGCTAGAAAAAAAAAGAAAAAGCATTTGCTTTTAAATATAGAATTGTTATAAGCTTTAGAGCACTTTGTAGCTATTAATTTCAATTCCCTAATCTGAAATTTTTTTTTTTTTTTAATGTCATGTGACTGACACAGCACCAATCAGCGCTGTGCAGACACATTCATATTCCATATGTCCTCTGCTACTATACATCAGCAGAGTACTGAAACTCCTCCCTCAGATCTTTCCCTGAGGACATACCTGGGAAACATCATTTGACATCTGAACAGCAATGATTAAATAAGGTACTCAGATGGGTTTTTTTTTTATATTAAATTAAATACAGTGGCATGATCTTTATACATAAATAGAAGGCATAATGGCAATTAAAATTTGTATGTTTAGTATCATTTTAAGTCGCTCTCTGTGTCTGGCTGTGCAGACTGATAGACTTTAACAAACTGGCATTTATTACCCTGTCAAAGTGAAAGCTGGACTTGACAAGTGCAGTACTCAGTTAAAAATACCTTTGTATTTGTCTTTCCACTCAGTATACTCTTCCTGCACCAGGGATGTTGGTCTTCAAAAACTATGCTGTTTGACTTCCCTTCATCTTTTTGCTAGACTTCAAGAATGGCAAATTTTTCTCTGACTCCTCTCCTCCCCCTACATTTCCATCTCAGCTAGCTAGATTGCTTAACCTCCCTGGTGGTATTCCCGAGTGTAGCTCGGGGTAAAGTTTCAGTACCAAAAGCGGGTAACCCCAAGCTTCACTCGGGAATACCCTGCAGCGTTGCTCAGGGATTCCTGTAGCACTTACCTTGTCCTGCACTCCCACGATGTGTCCCCTGCAGCGTCCCCGGCCGTCTCCTCCGGCCGATGCCGTCATCCGCTGATGCCGTCATCCATCTTCCGGGTTCCGGTCCCTGCGAGTGTCGGGGCGTATGGGGGCCGGAAGCGGTGGGAAATTTGAAAATTTTAAAAACTGACATTCACAAAATACACTAAAATAACATAGTAAAACATTACTGATTCAAAGCATTTCACATATACTTTGTCCCCAGTGCTTTGTCCTGTGCCCTGCCTGCATTTTTACTGTTCTTTCTGCCTGAAAACTTAGAAAAGTCCATGGCATCCAAAAAGCGTCCCTTTAGGTCAAAAGCCAGATTACAGCGATAGTAAATCAGAACCACTTGCAGAATTGAGTGATAATGATTTGTGGGGAAATTCGTCATCAGACACTGCAAACGATTCTGCGACTGATCTCAGCGATGTGCGAACGTGGTGCTATATTTCAAATTTCAGTGTTTTTGGTTTGATTATATTATTGAATTAAATGTATTATTATAATATTTTTTATGATTATTATATTATAATTTATGATTTCGTGTTTCAAGTTTTATTATACCCAGGATGTTTACTAGACTCTTGTTCGGACAGATTTCAGTGAGTTATTCCTAAAAATTACAGGACTACAATAAAAAAAGGCATATTTCCATGCAAAAAAATGTACCGCTTTCAGCACAGAAATATGGACATATTCATACCGCTAGGAAGGTTAATGAAGTTATATTTCTACCACCATTCTCGGCTAACCCATAGACATTTCTTCATGTTATCCCTAAAACCACAGGGTCACTTTCATGTATTGACTTTGTGACGGGCATTGTTTTTATTCCTTCATAACACTGTGTTCAGAGGGCTTTCAGATCATTCCCCACTCATAATGCAACTACTAGGTAGGTTACCGTTACACACCCCAGGTAACCCCGGTAACTAATTGCCTTGTGGCTAAATGTCAATCCTGTGACAATATTTACTACAACATTGTTGAGCTTACCTCTAGTGGTTATACCAATGTTCTTATTGGATGGGATGTGTTTAGAACATCCCTGAGAGAAACGTTTTTTATAGAAATGAATGCCCATAAACCTGTCCTTAGTAGTCAAAAAGCTTACCATTGTCCCTCATCAGGCTAAGAGCACATATTTTGTAAATACGTCCACTTATTCACTTTGGAATTCAGCACAAGAATAATATAAACAAGCTCTACGTACAAAAGCAGAATTTAAATTCTTTTTCTTTTTGGCCATTTTCTTTTAACCATCACTTTTTCATAACTCTTATGAGACCACCAAAAATCTTGATGCCCCTCTTATATTGGATGAAAAAGGGTTAAGTAGTCTCCCTCCTTCCCAAAGCCCCAGGTGGAAATGGCTTACCCTTTGAGATATAAAAGAGGTATGCTAACTGTAACGGAACAGGACCCCGACTGATCTAGGGTAATTCCGTTAGACTCTCGCTTCCCTGTCCGAACACCATCCACGGACCCCACCACTGACCATACAAGACTAGACAAGACCTGTCTTGTATTAAAACAGGAAATAGACTGCTTTATTTTAACACAGACACAAGATATAAATATTCAATGGAACATTTCCCCCCTCCCTGCATATGGACACAGGGCGGGGCAAACCAAATCTAGCAACCAGAGACACATCAGCAGGCACCCCCCACCAAGCCAATACACAAACACATACATCCCATAATAGTTTGCTCCCAAGCAAGACACACAATAGAACAATGGGATGCAATCATATGTCTAGTTCAGAATCAACAACCAGGAATAGTCTTCATATAGCTGATAAATATTGCTGTCACATCTGAAGTCATTCCAACCACATTCTCAGCGTCCATTAGTCACCCCGTGCCCCTAAGAGACACAGAGTGACTTACACATAAGAGGGATATGGGGAGCTGAGACAGGGTCTCCCCACCCATCCAAAGGGGGTTTTGTTCAATGGGCCCCCCCACCCAAAGTGACTCCTGTCACACTAACCTACAAAAATATTTTAACAATTAGCGCATGACACCCGATTTAGTATTGTAGCATCAATGTCAGAAAATGACATGTTTACTGAAAGTTCCAAAGGATTTTGATCAGTAATTTATAGCAAAGTAATATGTAAAGCTTATTGGTTAAATAAAAATAATTGGTACAGTCCTTGATCTATACTGCTGGCATGTTGGCATGGTGTGTCGTGAGCTCCTGGATTATGTAAAAGAGTATAAATAGATCACATGGTGTTTTACTAATTCTATTAAGCTGGTAACAGCCTCTTATCTTAGAGTACACTTGCTTGACTGTTAATTCTTACTGGGTATATTTTGTGCTTTGTAGTTTGGCAAATTTTAAGGATCAAAATATTAAAAAGTGAAAAAACGTACGCGCTACTATGAATAATATTGTATGTGTATACTCAATATCATTAACGGCTAGTGCACAAAACCCATGTCTCAAATAGTGGGCAAATGTAAGGTCTAAATTCTATTATATGTTACATTGATATCTGTGTAGCGCTATATAATATAACAAAAAATGAAAAGGAAATACCATAAACTAAAATAAACAAAATCAATGCAAAGATCTCAAAACATTTTCTACATAATAAATTGAATAAAAAAAGTTCTTCTTAAACCATTCTCCTTCCTGTGACCACCAGGTTGCAGCTAACACAAAAACAGTGCACTAGTCCTCCACCCAATATCTGCTCACCTCCAGCAGTGTGACCTCACATCATACAGTGTTTGGTCTAGCCGCACTAATCATCCATGTCAGCAAGGCCAGTATCAGAGATAAATGCTCCAGCCATTCACCAGACCATGGTAAATTAGTAATAGCGGGCCGTAGGCATGATATCAAATTGCCTCACAGTCAGAAGAGTCCTGGAGCAGTGTGTATCTCCACTGAGCACTAAGCCGATCGTTTGTTACGTCGTGACGTCATCTGTAAGCTCCTCCCCTAGGAACGATCGGCTTAGTGCTCAGTGGAGATACACACTTCTCCAGGACTCTCCTGACTGTGAGGCAATTTGATATCATGCCTAGGGTCCGCTATTGCTAATTTACCATGGTCTGGTGACTGGCTGGAGCATTTGTCTCTCATACTGGCTTTGCTGACGTGGATGATTACAGTTATCTTGGATCTGAGGAGTTTTCAGTGGATACTTGTCACACTTGGTGCGGAGGAGCAAAAAATATGTACAAACTACTACTGATAAATATCAAATGCCCAGTGGTTAGCAGTAAAAAAAAAAAATATAGGAATACATTTTAAAAGCTAATTTGTAATATCAAATTGTTGTACATAGTCATTCTGATATACTACACAAAATTGGAACGTGATGTTTTCATACCTGATAGACGTTTTGGGGGGAAGCCCTGTGTATATGGCTTCTAAAATGAAACTGCATTGCATGAATTTTCATTCATGCAAAAATTGTGACTTTGTACCAAGTGTTCAGTCAAGTTACCTGCTAAAAAAGTGTTTTATTTATGGAAGGTAGAGAAATTTTTGGACAGGATAAAGCAGGCTGTAAAGGCAGTTTTTTTTTTTTCCTTAAAATAATAAACCTATTTGACCAAACACAAACAATATATAGTGAGCGCTAAGAAAAAAACTAGGAGCAGATAGCACATATGGTGAACCCACTCCATATCACAATAAATGCATCAAAACAAAAGGTACTCCAAGGCAAACATATCTCCTCCTCTCAGGGTTGATACATAGCCATCAATGGTATGTCCTGAAAAAAGAGCATGGTACAGATCGAGGCGAACTTGCAGACAGTCATTAGTACGTACATCTGCCCTCCTCTGTCTTCGCCATGGTCAACCGAGCTTGGCACCTTGACAGCCGCAGCAGAGTCCCCGGGAACTTGGATGTCACTTTATCTAGGACTGTGGTTCATATGAATTGGGGGTGCAGTCATTCATTCCACTGAACACTTTTTTTTCTTCTTGTGCACTGAATTTGAAGGTCTTTTGTTTACATGGACTGTTTGTTTAGTCATCATTAATGATTGCACACATTATATTACTTTTATATTAATATTTTTGATATGTATTAAATTTTGGTAACATTTATGGGCTACTGTATCATATTACACTTCACTTTTGTTCAGTGATTATTTTTCATTTTTTAGATTGATATATTTGTGTATTTTTTCATATAGAGTAGCACTTTTGATTTGATTGACCAGAGAATGCATTAAAGTAAAAAAAATACCAAAACTGCCTTTTGAACCACTTTAAGGTTAGTTTTATTGTTTTAGAAAATTCAAGCCATGAGCACCCTTGCAAGCACCAGTCGGCTCAACAGAAATCGATTGAGCTGGCGGAAAATGGTTAGTCAAACTATGGCTACGTCCTATCAGATGCAGTCACTGTTCAGCTGTTGAGCCAGCCTCTGTGGCAGCAGGTGTCTGAATACAGTAGCCCACAGTGGAGGCTCCTCCATCCACGCCGTTTAGCATGGATGGGGGAAATTGATTGATTTTCTTCTAATTCAGCCATGGGTTGAAAGAGAGAGAAATTGAGCCCTTTATGGATACAAATACTGGTATTTAGGCTTGAATAACCATTATTCTTCTCTTTATTTGAACCAGCAGTCTGTTACTAAGGAACACATGTGCTTTGGGTTGATTTGTTTGTGCCCACTAAGTGAAATGTAATCTTCTGTCAATGTCAATAAGTCAAAGGAGGTTTCTGCTCTTGTTTATAAGTAAAGGCTCCTTTCCTTGTTACTACTCAAAGGGACCTGAAACAAGGGTCTTTTTTAATTTGAGCATTGAATAAAATTGACTTGCTTCCCTTACAGGCTGTTGAATTACAGTTTCTTTTGATGTCACTTATTGATTATCTTAATAAAAATGCAACTGTTGCTTGTGTTGCAGTAATTTGAAAGAAGACTTGAAGCTAAGCAGCAGTGAAGATAGTGATGCAGATCAGGTATGTGTAAGAAATATTTGTCTTTTTTTTTTTTTCTTAAGTTTTATCTTCGGCAGAAGTATGAAGATGAGAAAAATGTATTTTAGCATGTTTATTAAATTGTAAAGTGTTTATGTAATAATGAGTACTTTGGATTATCAAAAGATCAAAGACATATGTAGCTTGTTTGAATTAACACACAAATGACCACTTTACGGGTTGATTTACACCAGCTGCTACACTTAATGCATGGTCACTAATGCACAGTGCAAAGCACTGATATTGGTATCTCGCACTGTTAACTTTTTTTTTGTTAAAATACTTTGTTAATGTGGTTGTAAACTCTTACATATACCTGGAAAAGTGCCGAGGTGATACAGAGTTTAAACAATGTCCAGAATTTATACAGAATTTTTGAGCTTCAGCAGGTTGTGAGGAGGTGAAGTTGCACTCTGGATCTCCATGGAAGCTGTTTGGGGGGATGGGACACACCACCCTTCACACAGCATGCAAGAACAGAGCTGAGGCTGTGAATAGCAGGCTGTGTGCTGGAGCTCCCTCGCTTGTCACATTTTTACCTCTTGGTGTCAGGAAAACTTGTTAGAAGTTACGCCTACAAATACAGGCATGAGGCAGCAGAGACGAATAACACTTAGCGCTCTGGATTGAGACACATACACACTATAGATGCATATGTTTTGTTCATATGTCTAAGGTTTACAACCGCTTATGTACCATTCAATTAGTGGTGTTTGGATGCAGTGGTTTGCACCCCAACCTGCTCCGCTAAGAAAAAGTGTTTTTTTTTCAGTTCATGCCAATTTGCAACTCAGTGGTTTGAAATGGCGCTATAGGAAGTAAAGCAGTTTGCTTAATCTTTTTGTTGGGACTGTGCAGGGTAATGCTGTGAATGGGACCTAAGACTTTAAAGATCTTCCTTGCATTTGTATTTGATTTCTGTTTTCATAACCTTTTGTGGTTTTAAGGCAAGTAAAAGTTTAAATATTGGTTTAAAAAAAAAAATTAAGGGACACTTGTAGGTTTTAGTTTCATATATCATCTAAACTTATTTGTTTCTTTTTTATTTGCAGGACTGCGATAAGGCTGTACCAACCAATACACCAGGAAGGTAGGTTTGGTCAAGCATTTTCTTTTTAAAGGAGATTTCTACAGTATTTGGAAGTCTGTCATGTACTTGGTGCCCTTCCATGATGTAACTGCCAGCTGCATTTATGGTTTTTCATATAAAGTGCTAGCTTTGCTGAAACCCCACCTAGTGTATCCATATAACCATTCCCAATCTTGGAGGCTTCCGTTTTTTGCTAGAGTCCTTAGGTGATGTACTCCTTCTCCTGTTGGAGATTTTGTTTCTTTTTTTTTTTTTTACCAGATTTCTTTTACTTTCTTCAAATGACACTTCTTTTAACATATGACTACCTATTGCCAGCTTACTCGCAGTTTTCAGGTCGTTACCCTTGGTGTATACCTTGGAAACCATATTTGGTCTTCAATGTTTGCATACTGGATCCTGCGCTTGGCGCTTATTGTGACGTGTGATACAATAAGTGGAAATCTCTGCAGGGTGCTGTGTAGGTCCTGGACCGTGGTCCATGCCTTTTGGCACCCAAACCCTGAAGATTCCTTCGGGGTATGCAACCATGACAAATTAATCCTGGACCCTGAATGAAACCAGTGGCATTGACAAGGTAAGACAGGTTTTCCCTGTTTTACTTATTGTCTCCTTGCTATAGATACATATCTATATCTTGATGGATCAGTAACTTACTCAACTTTGTGTCCTATACCTTACAAGACACATTACAGTGTTAACCATACAAGTGGTCTAGGAGTCACAGATTATGGGGTATTCTACACTCTGTGTGTGTTTTCCCTCTGATTTTTTATGTATTGTTCAGCCTTATAGGTAACATTTTTATAATGATTACCTATTTAAATTTGGCTTTCTTTTCACCTCATTACTCTGCTTATGAGAATCTTAACTTTGCATTTCCGCACACCATTTTAGACCATTGCTGCAAGCTTATTGTGTGCTGTCTCACCTGTTGCCTGATACTTCAGACACAGCCACAGGAACTTGCCATCTCATGTGGTTCCTTCATGCCAGACACACTGAACTCCCTCAATCTGCATCTATGCCTGTGAGTACCCTGCAAAGGGAAGATTCCTCATTTAGCAATGGTGGATTAAAAGCACTTTGGATTGGGAGAACATGGAGCAGTCAGTGGGTATTCAGCAGCAGCCCTGGTGAAACTTCAGCTACCTCTCAGGTTGATAGCAGTTTCCTTGTCCAGAGCCAGGTCTTTACACTCAAACTACTTCAGCCCCCTGAGTCAAGGGTTCCCTCACAGACGCATAACATGCTGCTTGTCTGACTAAAGCAGAATTCTTGGTCACTATAACTTATCCATTCTTTCGCCACTTTTGGAATCAGTGAGTACTTACAGCCATAAAAACTTTTGTCTCTCCTCCTCCTGATTATTTTCATGCATTACTACCTGTCTGGCGCACTTCCATTTTCAAAAGGCAAGGGGGACACTAACATTTTAGCAGAGGCTCCTGAAGATTTTTCAGCGCCAAAATGTCTTGGAATTACTACTTCAACTTCTTACCACATGCTGGCTACTATGTACACACCTAGTACTGCACATGCCCCACATATTCCTGTGGACACAAGGCTTTCTATTCCTAGACAGTCCTTTCTCTATTCTTGATCAAGCCGATTAGGCCTTTTACAATGATTGGCCCAGCTCCAAGAGATTATTCATTTCTCCTGAAAACTTTGATGCCTTGTTCCCTATGGAAGTGGAATTTAATGAGAAATAGACTGAACCAGCCATTCTTGCACTAAATGCTTATTTCTACTGTCTATAATGAGGGCTAACCTCCTTTTACCACATTTTCTTTTTCAGCTGGCCACCGACTTTCCATTAAAAAATATACAAATGGCTATATATCCACCTGATCACTTTTACAGTGCTCAAAAAAAGTTCTAAAGTGTAAAAATAAATAAAAAATTAAAACACCCCTGTCCCCTGTGCTCACACACACATGTAGGTCCTGCATGCATATGTAAAAAGTCATTGCACCACACATGTGGGGTATCACCACGAATGTCAGTTTGAAAGCCATAATTCTAGCACTAGAGCACACAACTCTAAACTGGTACCCTGTAAAGGTTTCTAAAGTTTTTGACAATTTTAGGTACCATAGTTTGTTGCCACTTCACAGGCGTGTGCAATTTTAAATCTTGACATGTTTGGTATCTACTCAACACAACATTATCTTTTCTATTTTACCAAAAGTTGGCTATTGTGTTTACATTAACAAATATCTTGCAACATAAAAAATTGCAGCAACCACCAATTTATTCTCCAGGCCTCTGCTTTCAGAAATTATATACTATGTTTGGGGGTTCTAACTAATTTTCTAGCAAGAAAAAAAAAAAGACATATTGTCCTGTGTTTGCTTCTCACTAGCCTCACTTGCTTCATTAAAGGTATGTATATTCCCCAATTATATCTATGTAAAACCTTCACTAAAACATTTGAACAAGAAAAAAAAATGCAGATTTTAACATTTTCAAAATTGTCTTTGATAGTAAGTGGTTAAGGATTCAATTGATAGGCCTTTATGGGCTTTTTAAGTCCTTTACTCTGGCAGGTCAACCATGCAGCTGGCTATCACCACCTTGTCAGTTGCCCAGACTATAGCAAACGTGACTGGGGAACTCAATAGTGAACTTTCCCCTGATATAGGTAATTGTTTTTCTGTAAGATTATAGCTCTTGCCCTTGGATTTACTACTCTGCGTATATACCATAGTGTGATTCGTCAACTTTCCAGAATATCCTTACTTTCTGTTCATATGCGCAGAGTTTATTGGCTTATAATTGCTGACCCCGGCTTGGGAAAGCTGCCTTTTGTCCATGCCCTTCGAAGGTGAGCTTCAGTTTGGACATTCCCTTGAGGATCACATTAAGGCAGCTACTTAGGGAAGGGGGTTTCTACCCCACTATCCACTTTTACACCTACCTATTGAATGGGCCTCCTCTACCTTATATTTATGATCTTTTTGCTCCCTCAAGGCATCATCCTCTTGTTGGTCCTTGCTTTCCTGGCATATTCCTCACCTCCCTTTTGGTTGATCCTTCTCAGGCACCTCCCCCTACCCTGTATTGATTTGGGGTACTTGGGCCAAATCCTGACATCATTCTTATTAATTTTCTCCTTCAACATTACATTTTTGTTTAGATATAGTTCCGTGTTCAGGAACATACTTTAATTAGCACCGTTTAGTTGCCCCTCCATGAGAATTTCTCTGGTTTTTCTTGTGGCAGCCAGTGCCTTTTTTTTTTTTTCTTTTCTTTTAGTGTTACTAAACCTAGGACCCTGCATTCACATATATCCCCCACAGTACACAGAACATGTAAATACAATTATTTTAGTAAATATAAACTGCTAAATACCTTTTCTCATCAGCAGTTAGAGCAGTCTAATGACTTCTATTAGTATCCAGCCGAGCACTGGTTAAAGCTTGGAGGAGGAGGTTTCATTTTGCTCTAGGAGGATGCAGAAACCCTGACATCTGTTTGGACAGTGCCGATTGGCCCTGTGCTGATCACATGCACTCTCCCAGAAAAAAAAAAAACTCTAGCAATACACACCAATCTGAGCATGTGTAGGGTGACTTTACACAATATGTCTTATTAGTAGATAAGAGGGGGCACTGTAAGAAGGGGAGGATCAGAGAAGTTGGGATCAAACAGCATTTTTACACAATGCAGATGATTAACCCCTTAGGTTCCACAGTGAGTATAACCAGCTTGATTTACTGCATATACAGACTGATTTTACTGTTGTGGGCTTAGTAACTCTTTAAAGTCCTTGGAAATTTCCTCACTATGTGGGGAGGCTAGCTCACATGCCTAGAGCCCTGTTTACTATTTATTACCATAACAGATACAGCGTATCTGGCTTACAACTCTCAGACTCTGCCCTAAGCTCTGGAATGCCCTTTCCTCCACATATCGGGGTCAAGGATTATCAAGTCGCCTACTTTATGGGTTGAGAAGCCATTCTGATGGTGCTAGAAAAAGTCACCTTGCCCCTGTTCTCAGTTCTACCCTTATGCTTTTGTTCCCTTTCCACATGCAGTCTGTAGTTTTCCCGACCCTTGCCAGCCCTTCTCACCAAGCTTCTCAAATGATATGACTGCTCTACAGACTTTTGCCCAAAGATCAGTTTTCCAATACTCTGCAATCCATCATGTAAGATAGTTCTAAACTATTGTGAAAACCCCATCCTAGAACCTGTTCCTTTTTTTCATCCTGCGATTTCTTTTGTTTGAAATCATCAAACAACTAGCCTTTGGTACCTTGCCAGTCTTAGATCGGCCTTTGTATATATCCCGTTCCTTGGCTCTTACACTTTCTTAGCAAAAAGTTGCTCCTCTTTGTCGCTTTGTTGCAACCTTCTCCTCGCTTGCTGCAAATGTCCTCCCCCTGTGTATAAAGGGGTTATTCCCATCAAAGGACCTCTGTAAGATTAGAGCTCTCTTCTTTCTGTTGCACTGGCAGTTGTACTGTAGTTCTGCCTTGGCTCCCGTGTTTACTTCTTGGGAGGCCCCCTTTTTCTTATGTTACATGGGGGCCAAGTTTCATGGAAGTAGTTTTTGCTATTCTTACCGCCTCCCCAAGTCCTGTTCTGGAGGCATATCAAACAGTTTGACTCCCCTTTTAGTTGAGGTCAGGGCTGTCATATCTTCCCTTAGGAACTAACCTATCTACTGTTTCCACACAGGGTGGTCCACCTATGGGATCCTTCCTGGCTAGGTGATTATTTAGTATTTTTTTTCTAGGGCTTCTGCATTCGGGGAATGAGTCCCTCTTTTCCTACCTGAACCATTCTCCCAAGTACATCAGGGCTCTTTACAGCATCTAGCATCTGTTTTTTTTTTAAGTAACAGGACCATCACCCAATCCTCTTGTTTACATTTTCAAAACTGTTTTTTGGCAGGTGGCTGTTTGAGCCTCTTGTGATGTGTGCTTAAAGGATAAAATATAAAATTTTATAAAATATGATAA